TTTTTTGTTTTATATTATTTTATCGAATTATTTACGATCCCCTTTTGTTCTATTGGAATATTTATCGTAAATACTATACGTAAATATATAATACTATATGCAAATATTATATTTACTGCAAAAATTGGTTATCTCGCGCAATAAATAAACATATAGAAACTTGTTAGGTTTTAGGATGTTGTTACATCCTCTAGGAATTTTCTATCGACGACAGAATTGAAAATTGACTATTTTCTATAAGTATGCCTCGTTTGTACAATCCTAGTTAGGATTTCATGCTTTTACCTGCCATATTTCTGTCAATCTCTTTGACTGAGACACCTGAAACGCGATTACTTTGACTACTGACCGACTTCACGATCTCGCTATATCCTGACCCGTATCATAATCATTGGACGAAACCACGGGCGGTCGCGTATTTGCTCGTCACGCGAGATGAGGGAATCTCGATGGGTAATTGAATCCTCGCATGCCATCGTGACATGGAAGCCTGTCTTTAGAATTCTAGGTAAAAGGAGTTTGCGCGATTCCACTGAAACGTTCCAGCCAGTATTCTGGCATTCGGTATAGATTCTACTGAGAAAAGTAGAATTGGGCGTGTAACAGTCGATTGGTATTTGCTCGGCTGTAGATGAATCCGGACACGGAAACTATGATGTTCTTTGCATAGTTGATTAGTTCTAGATATGGGACGAAAAATTTGATCCCAGGTTCGAAAGAATTTTAAACTGATTATGGTTCGATTTAGACAACGAATACTTTGATTAACGCTTAATTACTGATATCGCTGTTATGACAATTCCGCTGCTAAACTTCATATTATTTGATTATTATTACATCGTGGACATTTATGGAAATTCATATTTTGCAAATACTTTAGACCTCGTAAAGGATGTACGCAAGAACCTGTATCTTGGGTATTTCAAACCATTTTGCATATTGTGTGCATTTTATAATCCGCAGTCTAATTATTATAATCTGGGCAGTTTGATCGATAATTATCTTATTACGTCATAATAGTATAATTTCAAATTCATTTATTACCCACTAAAGAGAAAATTCATACAATGAAAAAGAAAAGTATTACAGAGTCAGCCAAGAAGAAACATTAATTCTCGATTACGTGTTTACCGCGTCCCACTAAACGGACCGCGTTGTCTTATCAATGCGAGCGAAACGATACGGCCCAACTTCTTTAATTTTCCAGGATTTCGATAATGAAAACGGAGCATCCCCATGGCGTTGATGATTTACGAGCGATCTTGAAGCAGCCTCGATGGTATTTGTGAGTTATGCAAATACAGAGTGCGTCGTTTAGAAACAGGGTCGCATCGCTTGAGAAGATCTATCATTTTCTCTTTCTCTCTCTCTCTCTCTCTTTCCATTTTCTTCATCTCGCTCTTCTATCTTATCTTTCTAATGTCTTACTCCTCGCATTCCTCTCCTCTTCTGTCCTCCTTCGCCGTGCTCATTATCACGATTTTCCATTACCCTCGTTCGAATTTCCACGCTCGACGACCTGTGCGAGAGTCAGCAGTCAACTCCATGTTATACATTTTATCGTTATTAGCGTCGTGGTTTGCTAGGAAGGGCGTCTTTTTTCTTGTTATCTTTTGGTAGAATCAATTGATAAGAAGGAAGAGAATTTTTAAAGGATTTCAGTGGAATAACATTAAGTCGAATGATAAAATCATCCGAGTCTCATTAGAGCAGTTCTCTTACTCTTACTTGCAAGTTTCTGTTATACTTATTCGAGATTCTGTTATTCTTTGCAAGAATAGTAACTTTTCGAAAGTTATATTACTTTTTGTAATCATCGTATACTTCCATTCTTCGTTCTTCATTCTTCAGCTATCAGTGGAAATAGATTTCTACTTTTCAACGTACGTTTTGATTTACTTCGCTTGTTGGTTTGATTTTTATTCCATTTCAAGGAGACACCAAAATTTACCTATCGTTCGTCCCGATCGATCTTATTGACCTTAACTTCATCTCGATTTTCCACTCGAAAGCAATGCACACACTGCGAATGTACATCGCGTAATCATTCGGCGGTTACGTCGCGAAACAACGACGATAGCGATTGAAGTAGAAGTAGAAATACAAGTAGCAGTAGAAGAAATAGATAAATAAGACAGTTACAAACGATGGTAAACAAACAAAGGTAGACAACACCAAACAATGATAAATGGGAACAAACAAAGATAAATAATAAATGACAGCGTCAAACGACAGATACCGGTCGTTCGAGTTCAGCCGGTCGAACCAGAGTGCTTAGAAAGCCAACGTGAGCAAACCTGGTGTAATCCTATATTGCCGACACGGTTCAGGTTAGTCGCATTCGCCGTTCTCTAATGCAAGTAGGCGAATGCAACTAACCGGCTGGGAGAACTAGGCGAAATTAGAATGTTTGTCCGATTGCGTATTGCACCGTTGTACCAAACTCGAACACGAAGTTCGATTTTCTGAATATAGATAAAATCAAGGAAACTTCATCTTTCCTTTCGTTTACGTTTCCCTCTTTACGGCCGATAATTTCGCAAAAATCTTAAAGTAGCTTCGCGATAAACTGCGGTAAATTTGTGGCAAGGCTAAAAATTTGAAGCTTTTCTTCAAATAAATTGTTTTTTATATAGTATACATTAGCGTTAGTTCGAATAAAAGTAAGGAATTCTCGTCAGAGCCGCAATTGGGCTGTCTATCCGATCTTGAACTTCACATAGAAAAATCGTCTTCAAGAAACGATAACTACGACGTGGTTTCAAAGGCGGTCAGAGGAAATTAAGTTTTCGAGAGGCGCGATTCTTCGAGTCGCGGCTCTTAGCTCTTTTACTCGGCGCGACGAGCAAATGGTTTCACTTTTAGGTCACCTTCGCGTAAGTACATTCAGATTTCACCATTTCTACCGACAGCTTCGGGTCCTTTCGCTCTCTCGAAACGCTCGATATTCTTCGTTCATACACTTAGATATCCTCGAGAGCCGGCTCAATGCCAGATTACAAGGCAGAAAATTGTTGGGAACCGAGTTAATTCGAGGATATTTGTCCTTCGGATAGCGTAAATTTGTTCTGATCTATCAACTGCGTTTTAAACAAATTACCTTAGTCGAGGGAACGAAACGTCGGACACTGATGTTTACAATAGTGACTATATTTCTTACGCAACAGTCGATATTGGAAACGATCAATCATGCGTTGTAAGAGCACACCCACGAGTTTATCTCGACGACCTAAGCCATAACAGTTCTGGTGAGACGTGCGTATATTTCTATCCTTATACCCGAGATAAGAAATTCTATTAAAATATTATAATTACGAATGGAGAACGGTAATGAAACCAACGTAGTCGAACAGATTTTATTGCTTGTGTTTCGTTTATTAAGCCTTTGTGACAGCGATAAACAATTATTTATTTCATCTGGATTATACTAAAACAGATTCTTTTATATTTTTGTATAATATGTTTCTGTCCAGTTACATTATAACGCTAAATATAATTTTTTTCATAGGTATAGTTTATTAATTTAAAGACTCGAATAAATTTAATTTTTGAGGTTAAATTTATTAGATCTCTTGGTCGGTATTTGTTATACATTAATATAGCATTGATACACTTTCTTCGTCAATTAATTGTCAATGCTATACGCATAGAGTTTACCAGAGGTTTCTGGTTTTTGTCTGCGTGTTTTATGGGCAAAAGTGAGAGTAAAGTAAAAGCGAGGGAGTAAAAGTAAAAGTAAGACGAAAATGTCGTATGAGCGTAGGTTAGTGAGAGCTAAGCAATATATGAACATAAATAAACAGCTGTATAGTAGACGTAGTAGATAGTATGAACAAAAAATTGTAGTAAAAGTAGGAAATATGAAGGTCTTAAGTTGGTATGGCTTGTTATGAACGAGTTCTAGCAAAAATATGAAATGTGAAGGTCTCTTCGTTAATGAGCTGCCAACATTTTAAAACAAAATCCCGTTTTTCATTCCTTGAAAGTAGTTACCCTTTTTTAAGCAAATGGAAAGGCAATGAAAATGAAGACAGCATCGTTAAGACAGGATACGAAATGATTAGCAAACGAGACTCCATTAACAGGTTAGCATGTTACAACTTTTTTACACTCTCTCTAAATCCATATGTCTATGATAATGTGCTGGTACACCTCTACTTTACTAAAATGCAGACTCATGTTTTCTAAATTACCATGTTTGTAGAACATTAGTTATGCGATATATAAATTTTCAATGCGAACTTTTCAGTAGATCAGAATTTCAGTATCCATAAATCTTCAAATTTCTAAATTTTTTAATTTCCGATGTTCCGAATTTGTTAATTTTCTAATCTCCAGATTCCAAAAATCTTTCATTTTCAAGCTTACGAGCGTCTAAATTTCTGGATTTTTAGATGCTAAACTTTCAAATATTTAAATTTTCAAATTATGCGTGTTCCATGTACATCAGACGGACAAAGTCGAACCCAAGAAACCTACTTTCAACGAAACTGAAAGGCCTATTCTTTGCAATATTGCAGTGTTTGAAACGGGGTAACCTTTTCGCGTGTGCAACCCTTTCGCGATTCGAAAGGTTAATAAAACTCGAAAGAGAAAGAAATCCCAAGGCGTGACCGGTTTGCCGATCCAGCTGAGACCACTTCACCTTAAGGTCGGGCCGAATTTAAACGCGACGAACCTAGCCGGGAATGAATTTTTTAGCACGGCCCTGGAGATATATTTACAAATATGTAAACCGTGGACCTAAATGCCAGCAGCTTTCCCGGAGACCTGGCCTATCTGGTCTGGCCTAGCTCGCCACGTCGTTACGAAACTGCTCGTTAACGTAACTGTAACCGAGTAATCGTCGCTCGAATGTTGTCATCGCTCGTAAAAATATCTTCTGTCGAACATTATGTTCCTAGAGTCGCGCGTAAGACACTAAAATCAGAATAATTTGATTAGACGCGTCAACAGCCTTTCAGAGGACAAATTCTGCTCGAAAAAATATAGAGTACAATATTTCGGAGAAAATCAGGTTCCTAATTCCAATAAATTCTAAATATATAGACTCTATGATATTTATGGAATTGTGACAAAGCAGACATCAGAGTATACAGTTTATTGTTATTATTATTATCACCGGAGGAAACGTAATCTATTCTTAATCTCATTACTAATCCTACCGAGTATCGATAACAAATATAAGATTTGTGAAATAAATATGATTTTCAAAATTTATAGAATTACCAGTTGTGCTCGACTATTCGCTATTACAGTTCTCTATTTCATCGATAGAATGACGACCGATGGTTCAACAGGCTACAATTACGATCGTCATTAATGATTAATATGTAAAAACACGGCTACTTGTTATCCGACAGATCGTGGAGCCATGTACAAAAGACTCACTGTGACGAGACAGGACTTGGTCTCGGTCCACTTATCGCGGGGCGACGACGTCGCAAACGCATTCTACTTGCGATTTGGAGCAAGCGTACACCCCTCTTCAGAAGTATTAGATGTCTTAATCATAAGTATTGTATGAGACACCTACCGGTCTCATACAGGTTCCGTAGATCAAGTACGATAATGGAGTCAGATTACGAACGAAAACGGTTATACGGTGCAGAATTTGTTCGTGTCGTATATCTTTCTGTTTGTTTCACGAGAATTTTGTTAAAATATAAAAAATTTCGTTTTGGACATCAAGATAAAAATATCTACGGAAATTCATACAGAATTCATAACAATTTTTACGATCTGCAAATAGAGATTATCGCAAGTAATAAACGTCTTTATTTCATTTGTTCTTCGTTGGTTTTACGGCGAGTAACGATTCTCTTTGCGATTCGACGATTTATGTTTTCTGGGTAATTACACGGATAATAAGTTCATCATCTCTCATCGTCGAGCAATGAAATTTCCAGAATTCGTGCAGTGTACACGTTTAACCTTTTAAACGTGGGCTTGGACACGACGACGAGTTAACTCGCCTTTTGTGAGAAATATTTCCGGAACGGCGCGCGAGATTAACCATTTAAATGCCTTGGGTAGCATTAAACATTTGCTGTTCGCACTTTTGCTCGAGTAATCCGCTCGTTATGTCGTTTCAACGTTTGCTCCGCGCTTTCTGCGAATTTCCCTCGTTTAATTTTCTTGCTAAAATTATATAACGTGCCGGAGAAATTTGTCTAAAAATTATACACAATTTTCATCGAAAAATTTTCAAACAATATATATACATGTATATATATATCATAGCTGTGGTTAGTTCTAATATCAAATACAGTACAAAATCATTCGCGATCGAACGTGATAGTATCGACCAGTAACCTAATTCGTTCTCCAAAAATGTAGAACAGCCTCGTACAACAATACGGTTCCACGATCGCGCCGGTTTGCCAACAGACGCCTCGCTTTACGCAACAATCGATGTTGAAACGTGTAATCAGCAGTTCTTCTTTTTCTCTTTTCGCAGTCCTCATTACGGTCGATCAACAGAATCTCTAAGCGAACGATTTCTTACCCACTTTTCAGAATATTTATTTCCTTCGCCTTTTTACCACATTCCAACCCGCGTATCTTTCACACGCGTATTGACCTTAAAATCCATCCCAAAACAGGATAATCGAAATCGTTTCGTTCGTTTAGTTCAGAGACGATCTCATATAAATTTCTTTTCTTTCTCTTTCTGTTGCCGTTCGGTAATTATGCTCGTGCACGAATGGCCTATTTAATTCAATGAAACGAGCCATTGACGAGCCTATTCAGCCATACGACAACCACGAGGTCACGTAACACAACGGACCACACCCACACGCGGACGCACACCAGCGTGAATCACCCATGTGGTCGCGTATACTTGCATGTACACAGAGAGTAGTTGGCACGCGTGATCGTACGATTAATTTGATTTTACGGCTGGTCGATCTTTCGATCGTATCGGGAGAGATGCTGCTGGCAATACGATTCTCTCACTGGTCGAGTTGGGATTTCGAATTCCATCGAAAAGTTGATCTCCATTCTATTTGTTATAGCGTGAAGTTCGAATATGGCCAATATTGCTCGTTAAATTGTATGTTAGTGTCACATCGAAGAAGAAGAAGAAATTTATTATTAATCGTATATATCCGACGTTAAGCGAATTTATTGAGTAGACAATGAAAAGAGTTTTATTCGATAGATACACACTGCTCAACGTAATTAGAAGATCGCTACGAATAATTCTATTGAAGCAATCTAGCAAGTGAAAATAAAAGTCGTATGGACCGATAAATTAGCATATTATTCGTATGATACTGTAAAAGAAAATAGTTTTTAAGAAAATCGTCAAAAAATATATAAACACGAGAAGCGAGAATAAAAATCAAAGTGACACGAAAGAGATTCTCTGATAATTCCGTATGACGCAGTGATAAGTTAATAACAAATAATCTCTGTAATAATTTAACAATAGAATAAAATAGCAATCATGAAATTACTGCACTCAACCTGCCAAATTCGAATTCGTTTCACTTATCCGTGCTCCACTTGTTCGAGCGATTGCTAAACGTTTCAATGGATTTCCGCGTTTCTCAGCGAAAGCCTGTGAGAAAACACGTTGCGAAGTCGATCTTTTCCCATGGAAGCACCAGGGTCACGATTTCAAAATTTCCTTATCGATTTTTGATTTCTCAACGTTATCTGGCGTTTTGTTTACCGGGAAAGCAAAGTGAGAACACATGCGGTATGTATGGCGTGGTAGAATTTCCATGAGACGAAAAATACGTAACGTTGCGAGTTATCCATTGCACACTTACCGACAAGTGGCCTCGATTCCTTCTTCTGTACTTTCTCGCTGGTTTTCTGCCCGAAACCGGGCAACAATGTTGCGACTGATTACTGAATCTCTCAGAAGCTCTCTCGTATCCTGCTCTGCTTGTTATGGATGTTGCAACGAGCTCATGTAGTTTGCTACGGAAGAGTAATCCTGTTTTCTCCTTTCATTTTGTACCTTTAAATTCGATGTTCGAACGCTTCGAATGAAAAATAAGTTTGGAATTAACGAAACAGAGATTAACGGTGAAGTTAGCAATTAACTCTGAAGCAGAAATCAGGAAGATTATCAGATCAGCGTGAAGACGATATCGCGATCGCACTTTTCCATTTCAAAGTGCTCGTTCATAAAGATTTCGTAACTCCTAAAACTATGGTTGCTATTAGGGACTACTTGGGGAAGAAGCAGCGAATCAATTTTCGAAATTTAGAAAAATATTCAGACAATTAAATCTCGATACAAAGAAAAGATTTGGCACAAGCCTATATTGTTGTATGTTGTTCTCCAAGATAAAAGAAATATCGCGAAAGGAAAACATTTCATAAAGCAAACGACGTTCCAGGAGGAAAGCAACTCAGCGAGTATCCTAAACAGTATGCCAAATACAGAATATACTCGAATATCAGTAGAAAACAGTAAAATTCTGTCTTCTGTTTCTTCCATCTAAACCTACTACTTAGCAACGAAAAAGGCACTAGGCAACTACTGACGTAAACATCTTGTATACTTCTAGAAAATTAACAAAATCCTTGCCGCGACATTTCCACCAGCAAATATGATGCACATTAAAGAAGTATACCTCGACGAACCTTCGTTACTCGATAACGAAGGAAGGAGCGTGTGGTTGGAAGTGCTTGTCACGCTGCAGCGTATTGGTGGCACGGCAGTAGCGATACTCGAGATGACGATGGTACCGTGGTACGTTACAGCGATGGGGTTATGCTCCTACTTACGAGGAACGACGAACGCGGTTAGCCTAGATCACAGTAAGACAGAGAGGGCAGCGGCGGCTCGTGCGCGTGCACCAGAGCGAACAGAGCGAGCACAGGGTATAACGCCACGAAGGGGGCCACGCGATAAAATCCCGGCAAAGCAAGACACCTCGTGGAGAACGCGATACGCTTTTCTGCAGCTGCTGAACGACCAGCCAACACAGCCAGCCAGTCGACTAACCGGCCGATTTCGCTCGCGTTGCAAAAGCTCCGTTTTTCTTGTGGGAACTCGAGTGCTGCCGCGTACCGAATACATGATCGTTACGTTCACGCTGTCATCGTGCAACGTAATCGGTCGGTGACGGTCCTCGTGATGACGACGTCGCGTTAAGTGGGGAGTTACGCTTCGAGAGAAACGCGATTAAGAAGCTACGTAGATTTTTCTTTTTATTTTGTTTCAAATTGTGCATAGACTACCATGGTCAACATGGATAGATTAGTATCCAAGATCGGTTTCATTGGGATTTTAAGCTTTAAGCTCGGTGCCCGAGTATTTCGAATAACACAAGACTTGGAAATTAATCGGACGGAGAATAGAGAATTTTATAGTTAGAAGGTTTTAATTCTCGATTGGCGTCGCTGAGATTTTCATCGAGTTTAATGTTCGAATATTTTGAATATAGGAATATAAGCGATCTGATAGATAGCTGGTAGTTTGTGCATCCTGCTACAGCAAGACTTTTCGTTTTAGTTAGTTTTTAATTATCTTCAACAGTTTTTTCTTAACATGTTTTACAGAAAATACGCGTTTGCTTTACCATTAATAAAAATCCGTTCCAAAGAAATTAAAAAATGAATTCGAACAATTCTCATCTCTCATTACGTCATCGCTCACTTTAGCTACAAAGGGCGATCTACAAAGATTTGATTTATTATTTTTTAATTTTCCTGAAATATCTGCGTGATGTTTCCAAAGGATCAAACAGAAATAAGGTTGTCACTAGGGTGATATTGATGAGGCTTAGGACGAAACGCGAGCACACGTGCATCGATGCACCGTCGAACAACTTTGTCAAGAGATGTTTTTCACGGAGGCTTCGACTCGTGCAACCTACCTACCTACATAAACACGATGCTCCGCTTTGCTTCCCGTTCTCCTTACGAGCCCCTGCATTGCACCTCCTCGAGAAAATGAGAGAAAGAGAGGCAGGTGCCGGGCCTGAGGGGAGGAGAAGCTGGGTTGCAAAAAAAGGTCGAGAGTTGAGAGTAGGCAACCCAATTTTGTGACGCTCGCTTCTAGGTATTTCGATGTATCGCGCACGGGTCAAGGTCGGCCGAGATTTTTTACCAACGAAGTGTCAGTCGTTCTAAATGATTCCGACCACGGGGCCGACATCTCTCTGAGTCGCTTTCCGCGAATCCCATCGGAGATCTTCGCTAGCAAACTGCATTTCCCAGCTGCGCCCATTAACATCTGCCAATTAACGAGATACCAAATTTCAATTGTCGCTAGTCAGTTCTGAATTCTCACTATCTAATTCTCATTATTTCTCACTAACGACATCTAGTCGAAGAGCGTGCAGAAAGGACATGATAAGTCCACTCGTGCTTGAATTCACAAACGTAGGTTCCTTAGAGATACGTGACGGATCTATGAAATTTGATAAACGATCAAATTAATATAGTAAATATTATTCAAATATGATATAAATAAAATATCTGATCTCAGGGCCGAGTAAAAAGATAGTTTCAGTAAGATGGAATTATCGTGCGTATCGTTACAAAAGATTGCAAGAATCTAAGTTACGCACATTTAAAACTTAAATTACCATTTTCCAATTTCTTAGCGCCCGCTCTCAACCTCCCCGCTCTAGTCCTTCGACTTTCAGACTCCAACTTCGAACACTGCAATTCCATCTCTGGTGGCATTCTCCCGAAGAGAATACCGTTCTCCATCTCCAGGACATGTTTACCCAAACTTATTATTCTAGAAGCTGCCCACGCCGCGCAGCCTCGTTCGCGCGACACGTTTCTCCGCTAACGAGCAATTTTCTCGAGAGATATTTTTCTCACACGAACAACGTCTCGTCTCGTTCGTTGGTTCACGAACCAAGCGAAAGTTTCTCGTTCGGCTCGGGACGTACGTCTCGCCGATAAGTCTTGGAATTAATTCGACGATATGCATCATCTGCCTCGCGGTTTTAACGGAATTCGATCGTGAATCAGGGACAAGAGGAGGCACGTTTGTGATGTCATAGAAGTAGGGCATGGTGGAAGTGCCTCTCGATATCGTCGGTCGAGATTCTGCAGTCGCTTCATCATCGCATAGACAAACTCGATTCAGCCGGATCGCGTCATGGGCAATCGTTGTTAAGGAGGCGTGCTCCACGTGAGATTGCGTTACTTTCCACCGTTATTTTAGTTACGAGCGGTTGCTTTTAAGAGCGACTCGTGGGAATCGACGAGCACATTTCGAGTATCACTGTAGAGATGCTATTGTACCATTGACGATGTTATCCGTATTAAATTTTTATGGATAATATCGTTTAGTTAAAACGGACTTAAATTAGAAACGCAAAATGTACAGGTATTGCGAGTTTCTGTATCTTCAGTGCATCTTCGATGCATCGATCTTCCTGGAATAATCCTCATGAAGCTCCTTCTATTTTCTGAACACGCGGGAAAACAAGGGAAACGGTTCAGATAGAGTGCAAACGCGCATCGTACCGACAGCTCGTATCTGGGACGAATTTTGCAGAAATCTGAAACGCAAATCTCCTTTCTCTCGTTCGTTCCGTTCTCGAAACGAACTCGACGTCGTTTTTTTAATACCGACGTCTCTGACTGTGTATAGCGTATACATTGTCGCGTGACGGAGGAAATCGTGCCGGATCGTAGCGAGCAACGATGAATATTGTTGCAGTCGAACACGAGGGAAAGTCGAAGAAACGTTTCAGCAATCGAACCCTTTAACGTTACGTGCGTTATTTCAAACTAATAATATCGGAGTCTTCCGTAGATCAGTATCATAGTCAATTTTACGATTCGTATCATTTAGTTCCATAAATTCTACGAATAATTAAGATCGTAGATATAGGAGATTACCAGTGGAAAAGAACTGATAAGATATATCGTCTGGGAAAAAAGTTTCGTGAAACTGTCAGCATTCAAGTTGATATAAAAGAAGAAGGAGGATGCTTTATCTTACCTACGGTGGTATACACCGGCATGACAAAGCAGTAAAAATGTTCCCGTAGTAAAATGGCCCGTTTAAAGCGTATCACACACAATGAAGCAGACGTGGTACCTGTTTTGCACTAAGGTCGCAGTGACCGACCACAAAAACGTCCCTTTAAAGCAGACCCAAGCGTTCCCTATCATTGCCTGGCCACGCTATATTCCAGACAATGCTGGAAAGTTTGAGAGATTCGTCGTTTTTCTGTTATGCTTTCGTTATTATGTACTTTGGTATGCGCCAGAGGAAAGTCGTCTGCTTTCTATTAACCTGTTAACTGCTTCTGATGAGCATACTCGTTTCGTTTTACTCAAACGGTATACAACCTGAACAAACATTGAATACCTTTCGCATAGATTTATAAAACGTATAAAATATGTATTATTTAAATTATTCAAAGTTTTTTTTAGTTGAATTATTATGTTTTTGAAATTTAATATCGCGCAACCAAATGTTAAATTATATAGGTTTCGTGTTCCTTGAACCTTTCAAGTGTTTGCATCAAAGATAATATATAATTTTCGTGTCGTACTCTATGATATCGTGAGTTACGAATTAAAAGGACTTTCACTTTTCAAGAAAGATACCATGACACGTATTTGGAAGCGACAATAATGAGCTGTAGATTAATGAAGCGTTCACGGTGCATGTATTAAGCGATACGAATTACATATGTACAAAGCGTAAAACATTAAACTTGTCGATGTTTCAAGGATCAATTACGAAATATGCCAATCGTAGTTGTTATTCCTCGTGTCATATACATAATTAGAAATTAATCCATCAGACAAATAGTACGTTCTTCTGTCTTTTCTCTTTTTCTCTTTTTTATTTCAAGGTTCTTTTAAACCGTGATGAGTTAAAGGAATGTCAACACTTCGTAAGATTCTCATTAAGAAACAATAAAATACATTTCAATGAAAATGAACTGCGGCGATAAATTATATGCAAATGTGGCACATTTATCTTTTTCCTGTATCGATGTGTACGTAATACAGCTTCTACATATTCTCTGGTCTCACGAGGTGAGGGGGAAGTTTATGAATTCATAGCAATTGGTGATCCCAGACTGTCGGGTGCTGCTGGTACGCGTTAGCTTCACGCCGAGAATCTTTATAAGGGATCCTTTCAACGATGTTGCACCTTGAAACGTTATTAGATCGACCTAGAAACATCATTTAAAACTTCATGTCGGGATTTAGAGTGAACGTCAGGGATATTTCTGGTTGCGAATATTTTTAATATTTCACGCGTTCGTGTGAATTACTTTCGACGCTTTTATATTCCCGTGTATGGTGTCGATATTTCGAGTGTTTTCTTCTTTAAATCGAATAATTGGAATATTCCCTGCGTTTTTACGAGTATTTTGACTTTGATAGCGAAAATCTTCGGAATATTTTTCGTGGTCCTGTAAATTTTTAGATTATCTCTGATATTCGAACGAATGTTGACAGTATTTTCTTTTAATAATAATCGCTATACGTATGTTTAAAAAATAGATGCTGGCTAATCGTAGTCGTTAATCCAGTTCAACTTTCACTTTTCTCCAGAGAGAAACTGTGGTATATTTTTTACAGCACAGGTAATAATTTGTAGAAAATCAAATGTAACACGACTACAAACTTAGTTTTTCAGAATGTTTCTTATCATTTTGTCTCTCCCTCTCTCTCTCTCTCTTTTAATCTCTATATCGTATAGCAAATATCAAATGATGTTAAAATGTAGAGAAATAGAAATTGAGATATCTCAAATAGACTTTTGCAGTCTGATTCGGTAGACAAACAAATTGTTACACTTGTGCAAGGTATAGCGAGGCAACTGGATTCCTTCATATCTAGGCAAATATGGAAGCAATAATTTCAATTGTGTCGATACTCTGACAGGTAACGTTAGTACGATTTATTTGTATAATCCTTACAAGCTTACAAATATCATAATCGTCCATAAATCGTCAGATACCCAATTTTCTAATGTTTGATTAATATGAACAATCGTAAGCAAGAAATAAAACTTTTCTACAATCTTATTCGACAAGTAGTAAATCTCACAGCTACATGTCGTAACACGGTTCTTCATTTTTCGTTAAACAATTACGCAACATTCAAAGCACAAGGTATAGAACGAACCGTACTTTTGCAACGGGCTGTAGCTCGTTACCAGATGCACAATAATTCTTTGTTAACCGAGCTTGTTGATTCAACAACAATATTTAACGAGTGAACGTTTCGAAAACGAGCGTGCAGTTTCGCTCGTGCGAATATGTAATTGAAGCCAGCGATGACATAATGCACTGGTTGGGCCTTTAACAACAAAGTATCGGTTTGTTTTTCCAGCGGCCTCGATTTTTTCCC